CCACAGAGATAGTAGCTCCTTGTCGCTCACACGTGAATATGCGTTAAATTAAAAGACAAATGTTTTGAACACGGCAATTTTATTGGTAGTGAAATCATAGAAAGTTGTTGAACCTTAGGTTTGTCGTGCCTCAAAGTAGAGGAGGAGCATTTAGCTTCGCCTCGTTTTGTATTTGATGTTGATATACGCTCTAAAATTTTGCATACATATACATATATATATATAGAACTTATTAGTCTGTTTACCCGAGGGAACGAAATTTCAGACGACTATAATAAATCGGAGGTTGGGGTGTGAGATCGAAATGGAACGGAGAGCCCCCCTACCGGGAAATCGATTTCGGTTTCGTGTTCGTGCCTGCGTGCGGGCGAGGCGAAGCTGCGTGGGCGGGGGAAAGGAAATTCTCCTGTGGCTGGACCGTGGCTGGACCAAAAGGTTCTCCGCCCGGCAACCAATGGCCCGCGGTGTCCCGCTGGTGTCCCGCCAATGTCCCGTCGTGGCTGGGCCGCGGCCGGACCAAAAGGTTCTCCGCCCGGCAACCGGTGGCGCGCGGTGTCCCGCCGGTCCCGTCGTTGTCCCGTGGTTTCCCGTGGTGAGATCGACAGTGAGATCGATAGTGAGATCGAAAGTGAGATCGATAATGAGACCGATAGTGAAATCGAAAGTGAGATCTATAGTGAGAGATTGATAGTGAGATCTATAGTCTATAGTGAGATCGATCGTGATATCGATAGTGAGATCGACAAGTGTCCCGTGGTGTCCCGTGGTGTCCAGTGGTGCCCTTGAATGAGATCGATAGTGAGATCGATAGAGTCAGATGTTGATTCCCCCTCCTCTCCCCCCAACCTCCTTATCACCCGAAGGGTGGTCGTATAGGTACAGATATACGATACGGAATTCAAGAAATCATCGGGCCATTGGATATCGTCAATACACATGTCCAAGGCCGATTGTTTAAGAACAAGTCAGGTTGCTTTAGCATTGGGCTCACTTGCGCTTACCGTGAGTTGCGCTTGTGATTCGTGTGAGCTCTTGGCGAAGTAAACCTGCAACGCATACCGCCGCACTGTCATCATCACGATGTCGGGTGCATCGCCGGTCGCTCTTCCAGGCGAGCCGGCCTCCTTCAAAGGCCCCTGGGCCCCTACGTACGTGGGGGCTTCTGCGAAGGCCCCTCCGAGGGAACGCCCCTCGGAAGCCGGGCTGGCTTCCGAGAAGCCCCCCCCCGCCGCCCTCTGGGAGGCTCCCGCCGCCTCCCTGGGGCGGCCCGTGCCTCCCACGAAGCCCCCCCTCCCCCCTCCTCCCGCCGCCTTCTCGCAGGCCCCCGCCGCCCTCCGGGAGGCCCCGCCGCCTCCCTGGGCGGCCGCCCTGGCGCACCCGCCCCTCCTCCTCCTCCTCCTCCTCTTCCTCCTCCTCCTCCTCCTCCTCCTCCTCTTCCTCCTCCTCCTCCTCCTCCTCCTCCTCCTCCTTCTCCTCCTCCTCCTCCTCCTCCTCCTGGTGCCGGCCTCTGGGAGATGCCGTGCGCTCGCGGGGGCCTCTTCGGCCCTCCGGGGCGCTCGGGAGACCGAGAAGCCGAGCGTGCGAAAATGGCACCAGGGCCTCGAGAACACGCACGGGCTTCGCCGCCACGGACACCCGGTTGCTCCAACTTTTTGGGCGCGTGGGCCCCGGAGATCCGGACCAGTGCCCTGTATACGGCTGGTTTTCCGCCCCGAGCCGCTTCTGGGCGGCCAGCGAGGCCCAGCGAGGGCCCCCGGAGGCCGGACGCGGCCCCAAAGCCGCCGCTCCAGTCTTGCTGGAGCTCGGGGATCTGCTGACCCGGGTCAATGCAAGCCCGGGTCAGTCAGGCCTTGCAGGATCCTGCGGGATCCTGCAGGGTCCTGCACACGCGGAGGATCCTGCAGAAAATCCTGCAGGACGCTGCGGGATTCAAGCCCGGGTCAGTGCGACCCTGGCTTTGCAGGATCCTGTCAGATCGGAGGCTTTGGCTGACTCTCGTTTGCATGGACCCCCGTCTCAAGGCTCCCGAGGAGCGTCGGATCCCCAGACATCCGACGTCTCGATTTTTTCGAGACGCAGGCCCCCGACCTCCCGACCACTTCCCTGGCACCGGTTTTTCATCCAGAGTCGTTTTTTGACGGTCCCGAGGCCTGGCGAGGGCCCCGAGAGGCCAAAAACTATGATAAACCTCTGTGTCTATTTTTTTTTGAGACGCCCGATGTCTGGGGAGGAGCGTCGGATCTCTCGGTCCCGGGAGTCGTCCTCGGGCCCATGCGGGGAGCCCGTGGGGCCGTCGGGTGCCCCGGCCCCGCCGCCACCGCCGCAGCGCGCCTCGGCACAGGCAGCGGGCCCCTGGGGGTTAAGTCGGCCACATGCCCTCCACAGGAGGAACTTTCAGACATCGGAAAAATAGTAGTTATATATATTTATATACATATTTATATACATATATATATGTATATACATATATATATACATATCTATATATATACATATACATATATATATATATATATATATATATTTGTATATATGTATATATATATATACACACCCAAAACATATTTTTAAAAATATTGGTGTTGTTGTATTTTCGAACATTCGTCCAAAATCCGCCTGTATGGGGGACATGCCCGACCCAACCCCGGGGAAGAAGTGGCCGAGCCCTCCGGGTAGCCGCCGTCCCAGAGAAAAAAGGGAGCAGCGGCGGGAGTGGAGGACTGGCCTCGGAGGGACGTCAGCCCAGACCCCCTCGCGCTGTGACAAAACTCGCGACGAGAGGTTTTTCTCTATTTTCGGCCCCCGGGGGCCCTTCCCGGGTCTCGGGACCGTCAACAAAACGACTCAGGATGAAAAACCCGTCCCGGGGAAAGGGTCCAGACCTCTGGGGGTCGACGTCGTGAAGCATCCAGGCGTCGGGGGTCTGGAAGGTGGGGTTGGGGGCTGGGGTGGGGTTGGAGGAAAATGGCTCCAGGCGGCCCCCAGAGGAACGAGATGAGAGCATCCAGCTGGGTTCGTCCCCCAGCCCCAGCTTGGTACACCCCCCCCCTCTACAAACCCCCGATCGTCACCTCACCGACCGTGGCGGGCCAATCCTGGGCCCAGGATCGGTGCGTGCGCTGCTGCCTCCAGAAGAACGAGATGAGAGCATCCGTTCCCGAGCCCCAGCTTTAGAAGAAGAGAAATCACATAAACATTAACTTTTGGCGCTCCGCGCGGATTTCTTGGATGCGCCGGGGGGCCCAGGCGCGGATCAAGAAATCCGAGCGGAGCGCCAAAAATTTATGTTTATGTGTTTTTTTCTTCTTCGAAGCTTTGGATGCCCTCCCCCTTTTCGGACCCCCGATCGTCACCTCACCGACCCTGGCCGGGCCAATCCTGGGCCCAGACTCGGTGCGTGCGCTGCCGGCCTGGCCAGGGGCCCAAGCATCCTCCGATATGGCTGTTGAATCTGCGGCCCCAGGGCTCCCGACCCCTCCTCCTCCTCCTCCTCCTCTTCCTCCTCTTCCTCCTCCTCCTCCTCTTCTCCCTCCTCCTCCTCCTCCTCTTCTTCCTCCTCCTCTTCTTCCTCCTCCTCCTCCTCCTCTTCCTCCTCGTCTTCTCCATCCTCCTCCTCCTCCTCCTCCTCCTCCTCTTCTTCTCCCTCCTCCTCCTCCCTCTTCTCCTCCTCCTCCTCCTCCTCCCCTCCCTCCTCCTCCTCCTCGTCCTCCTCTACTTCTCCCTCCTCCTCCTCCTCCTCCTCCCTCTTCCCTTCCTCTTCTCCCTCCTCCTCCTCCTCCTCCTCCCTCCTCCTCCTCCTCCTCCTCCTCCTCCTCCTCCTCCTCCCCCTCCTCCTCCTCCGTTTCGCGTCCCCGATCGATTTTCGACAGTCCCTGGGCCCGAAAGTGGCCTCCGGAGGCCGAAACTACGGGGTCGAAGCTTTTCACTTCCAGGAAGCTGCATGCCACTGCCTGCTGTCTTATCTTCGCGCGAGAAGGCGGTCGGGACGACCCGAGCAGCACAGCAAACTCGAGAGGTGGCGGACAGGCAACCACCGACTCCGTGGAAGCACGAGGGACCCAAAGAGCAAAGGGAAGGAGGGCAGGCAAGAGAAACTCGGGATCGGAAGAATCGTATCGTCAGAGGTCTGGGTGCGCTTCTGGCCGGGCCCGGGCGGCATCTGCACCCATCAGAGGCATGGGATGGGCCGGGTCGGGGCCCGGGGATGTGGATAACAGCGGGAGTTCGGCCACACGAAACCTTCCACGAGAAACCACTCCCTGAAACCCACGACTCCCTATCGCCCTCTGGTGTGAGAGCCGATGGCATCCCAATGTGAAGCACTTCGAATTCATGCAATCCAAAGTACCCTAGGGGGAAGCAAGGTGTTTGTTGGCATGTGGCGACCCCTGGAGCCTAAGGGTCTCCTCCAGGGAGGTTATGATATTGTCGTTGTGCCGCTCGCGCACGCGCATGACCTCTTCGATGAGCTCCTCGCGCTTCCTGTTCGCACGCCCGCAACGGGTACGAACAAAAATAGGTACGGCCCCTAGATCCTGGCGTCGCATGTTTCTGCCAACCGACCATTTTGTTGTTCTTTGGGCCTGGGGACCCTCAGGGATCGATCTGGCTCGAAACGTGTCGCAGAAAGATGGGGCCCGGGGCTCTGGTCGTGATTTTCACGATGCTGCATTTGTTTCGCAACGTCGGATCGCATAGGTGCCCAGGAGCACATGTCGTCCAAGACTGGCGGCGGCCGCTGTTGGGCAGGCGACTTTTAGGTCTCGAGTGCACAGCGTCCGCGGCGACACCGACAGCGAGTCCCCTAGTTAATGGGCAGGAGCTGCTGTCGGCCTTCGTCCCCGTTCGTCCTGGCGAACACCTCCATGGGAAGCTTCGAGCTGGCGGCGGCCGCGTCGTCGTCGAAGCCTTGGTTGAACACGGTGTAGACCTGGGGGATGTCCTTCCACTTGATCACCTTGGACAGCGCCCACCCCAGCGCTCCATATGCTCTGGCGAAATCAACCGAATTGTCCAACTTGTCCACCTTGTTCAATACGATCAGGAACTTGTGAGTGCAGAAGAAGGGAATACGGCGTAAAGCACACTTGGGGACGCTCGCGCAGATTTCTTGGGTCCGCGCTGCCCCCCCCCCTGTCGGGCGGAGCACGCCAGTGCCTGGGGGGGGGCCCAGCGCAGATCCACAAAATCCACGCGGACCTCCGGAAGCTCATGTCAATGCAGATTCTCTCCTTCGCAATTGAGCCCTTCCAGCGACTTGGTGAGCACCTCCAGCGTCTCGCCCGTGGTGCCCGGCTTGTCCGGGTCGAACAGCAGCAGGATGAGGTCGGAGCGCTTGGCCCACCACCGCACCACGTCAACGAAGTTGTAGCCTGGGGCCGAGCGGCGCGGAGGGTAGAGGACGGATGACAGGCTCCCCGGACCTCTGGCGGCGCGCACAATGGGGCAGATAAGAGGGAGGCGGGAGGGCAAGCTCCTCAGAAGGCGCGGGTCTTGCATCTGCAGGCAAGACCATGCGCCTTGTGAGAAGCACCCCTGCTTCATTAGAAGGCGCTGGTCTCACATCTATATATATATATATATATATATATATATACACACAAAGCCCTCGCCTGCTGAGAAGCAGGGGCGCTTCTCAGAAGCCCCCCCCCTCCCCGACTTCCATGGGCATCGCTCGGACGTCCATTTCCTTTTTTTTTTTTTTCGGTTTCGTGCGTTTTTTTCGCCAGATGGTCGAGGGTGCTCCTCGAAGGTCCTCGCCGAAGGAAAAATGCACACGTCCGAGCGATGCCAAGTTCCCCCCTCTGCGCGTGGCCGAAATCCGCCCGTGCTGCGAAGAAGGGGCGGGGCGTTTCTGGTAGCTCTCGGCCTCCGGGGGCCCCTGTCCAGGCTGGGGGGCCGCCAGCCAAAAGATGGGGGGTCGAAGCGGCCCCTCCCCCTGAGCCTCTCACCCCCCAGGGGCTGCCGACGCAGTGTCGCTCGTAACGTGGGCCCTCCTCCTCCTCCTCCTCCTCCTCCTCCTCCTCCTCCTCCCTCCTCCTCCTCCCTCCCTCCTCCCCCTCCATGTCCTCCTCCTCCTCCTCCTCCCTCCTCCTCCTCCTCCCTCCTCCCCCTCCTCCTCTTCCTCCTCCTCCTCCTCCTCCTCTCCTCCTCCTCTTCTCCTCCTCCTCCTCCTCCTCCTCTCCTCCTCCTCCTCCTCCTCCTCCTCCTCCCTCCTCCTCCTCCGCCTCCTCCTCCTCCTCCTCCTCCTCCTCCTCCCCCCCCCCCCCTCTCGGGACCAGCGCTTCGTCCTGGGTCGCCTCCTGACGGTCCTGGGGCCGGGTGGGGGCCTCCAGAGGCCGCGGACCTGCCGCAGCCGGCCGCCGCCGCCGTCATTTCTGGCGTCGCCGGGGTCGGAGCCATCGCCACGCCGGAGCAAAAGCCCGAACCCCCAGACATCGGGCGTCTTGGAAAAATCGAGACAAAACGTTTTTCATAGTTTTTGGCCTCTCGGGGCCCTCGCCGGGCCTCGGGCCCGTCCAAAAACGACTCGGGACGAAAAAACGGTCCCAGGGAAGTGGTCGGGAGGTCGGGACCCCGCGCCTCGAAGAAATCGAGACGTCGGATGTCTGCGTCGTTGGCTCGTGTGAGCTTCGCTTGTCATGCTGTCAGCAGCGGCGGGCACGGCAGTCCCAAACCGAGACAGTTTATCGGGGAAGGACAGACCTCCCTTTAGTAAAACGTGGTTTAGTGAAAACGACCTGAGGCCCAAACCTGGCGGGTGCAAGCCTGGAAAATAACGGCCACGGCGCCCTCTCGAAAACCGAAAACGGACAATTCACCAATCGACGTGTCACTGTTGGGGGTTCTGTCCACCCCCGAGTTTAAGCCTCGAAGAGAGGAGAAAGGGGACAGCACTGCTCGGTAGGGCCTCGGATGGCCGACGCCCGGCGCCCCGCCGGGCGGCCACGGCCCTCTCGTCGCCTCCGGGACGAGGCTGCCTGCTGGGGCCCTGGGGGCGGGCCAGTGGGGGGAGTCCGAGGATGAAGGGGCCCCAGGACACACAAATAAATACACACCCATACTTTCGGGGGAATCGAGGATTCATTGTGTCTGTGTATTTTTTCTCCTCCTGAGAGGATGGCAGGCGGCGAGCGAGGGGGGAAGTGAGAAGGGGCAGGGCTCGGACGCCCCCGGGCCTGCCGAGAAGTGTTCTCTGGGCCCTCCCCGAAGACACACAGCAAAAGCCTCTCGGAAGGCGCCTTGGGCTTCTGAGGAGACCCGCCGCCCTCCGAGAGGGCCTCCTCCCTCTCCCTTCCCCCCCTCGCTCGCCGCCGAGACGAGGAAACCCCCGGCGACTCCGAGGAGGGCGTGGCCTGCGGAGGGCGTGGCCTGCGGAGGGCGTGGCCTGCCGCGCGCACCCCTCGGGGGGCGAAGGCGAGGGCCTCGGCCGAGCTCGCCGCCGCGCCCCGAGGAGGCCCGACGAGGGCGGGCGGTGCCCCCTCCGAGCCCCCACGGCTCGGCCGCGCGCAAGAGTGGCCCTTGGCGTGCGGCCCACTGGCCATTGCTCGGACGTCCATTCCCTGTGTTTTTTTTTCGGTCTCGTGCGTGGTTTCGTCGCCAAATGATCAAGGATGCTCCTCGATTGTCCTCGCCGAAGGAAAAACGCACACGTCCGAGCGATGCCAAGCGCAAGGGCAGGCCTGTTGGGCACACCGCCAGGCGCGCAAGCCGCTGCTGCCGCACCGCACTCGGCGATCGGGGGGCCCCGGTGGGCCCGCACCACAAGTCGCTCCGGCGAAAGGCCACTCTTCCGTGCCTCTGCAGGTCGGAAAGAAAGGTAATTAGGGCATGAGGACGTGTGGCGTCAACTTCGTGTGAAAGGGGGAGCCTGGCCAGATTGCTCACCGCCGACAGCATCGCCACACCCACGATTGGCACTGCACCCCTCTGTGCCACAAAATAATCAAACAATGCTCGAAAATGGTCCAACATGGTGGGAAAATCGTGCCCAGACCATTTTTTGAGTATCTTTGAATATTCCTCCTGTAGAGGGACGCGCCCGACTTGTCCCAGAGCCCCACAGGCGCCGATCGCACACCACACCCTGGCAGTGCCTCGCCCAACGGTGGCTCGCTGCCCTGGCGGTGGCCCTCACCAAGGGCGAGGCAAAGGCGGCGCACACACACACACACCCTACACGGGCCTCGCCAACAACACAAATCGACGCCGCTCAAAATCGAAGCGCAAGACGAAGCCAGCACGAATCGAGAATGATAACAGCAAGACGGAGCCAGGACGACGAAGGAAGCCAGACGAAGCCAGGACGAAAAATGGGGTCAGCATGAATCGAGCAGCTCTGAGATCCGGCGGCTCTGGAAGATGTCTCGGGCGCCGCGGCCATCTCAGAGCGTTTCGGAACGCTCTGAGAGCGCTCCGGGACGCGATGGAACGGATCTCCCTGACTCCGGATCCGCCCTTCTTTGGGGAAATTAGTAAGTAGGGCTTGGAATGTCCGCCTTACTTTTCGAGCCCCGCCGATGCCAGTTTCCGCCCTACTTTCCTGTTGCCGTTTCCGCCCGGCTTCCGTGGATTTCCGCCCTATTCTATGTCGGGTGCAGAAATTACCGCCCTACTTTTTCGGCCTCTCATAGGTGGATCTCCGACGCAATTGTACGTTGGGGGAAAAGCCAAAGTGGGGCGGATCTGGAGTCAGGGGACCCGGCGTCGAGCACAACGGGCGACCCGGCGGCGACCTGGCGTCGAGAGGAGGAGGAGGAGGAGGAGGAGGAGGAGGAGGAGGAGGAGGAGGAGGAGGAGGAGGACGAGGAGGAGGAGGAGGGGAGGAGGAGGAGGAGGAGGAGGAGGAGGAGGAGGAGGAGGAGGAGGAGGAGGAGGAGGAGGAGGCTTTGGAGCCAGGGCTGGGATCCCATGGCGTCGCAAATGTTAACTTCGTCACAGCGGGCGTTGTCGCCCGGTCTCGGACCCCCGACACCCTCACGGAGCGACCCTGCGCGACGAAGGACGCGGCCCCGACTCCAGATCCGCCCTACTTCCCAGACCCCCGACGTAATGAATTTTTCAGTACGTCGGCCCCAGAGTTCTCGGCCCCTTCCCCAGGACCGGTTTGTCATCCTGAGTCGTTTTTTGACGCTCCCGAGGCCCAGTGAGGGCCCCCAGATGCCGAAAATGGCGAAGAACCTTCCGTCATGATTTTTTCATTGCTCGAGGGGGTCTGGGTTTGGCTTTTTTTCCACCTTAAGACTGCGTCGGAGATCCACCTATAAGAGGCCGAACAAGTAGGGCGGACATTTCTGCACCCAACATAAGCTAGGGCGGAAATCCACGGAAGCAGGGCGGAAGCAGCAACAGAAAAGCAAGGTAGGGCGGAAATTGGCATCGGCTGGGCTTGAAAAGTAAGGCGGGAATTCCAAGCCCTACTTTCGAATTTCCCCAAAAGTAGGGCGGATCCGGAGTCAGGGCTGGGTCCGGGGCTCCGGTGGTGATTTCTTGGGAGATTGTGACTTTTTGCAACCCAGACATCCGACGTCTCGATTCTTTCGAGGCGCGGGTCCCCGACCTCCCGACCACTTCCCTGGGACTGGCTTTTCATCCCGCGTTGCTTTTTGACGGTCCCGAGGCGTGGCGAGTTCCCCGAGAGGCCGAAAACTATGAAAAACCTCTCTCTCTCTCTCTCGATTTTTTCGAGATGCTCGATGTCTTGGGAAGGCGTGGCCTGGCGGGCCCCCGGAGGCCTGTCTGGAGGTCCGCGGCGGCCCACGGAGGCCGCACCAGAGGCCCCATGAAGGCCCACCAGGATGCAGGAGCGCCCGAGAAGCAAAAACATCGGAGAAACATCGGCACAGGCGTACAGCCAAAACTGTTAGTACGGATGCGCGATAAGGATGCAAGCCTGCAAGCCTTAGGTCGGGCATGTCCCCCTGCAGGCAGATCTTGGAGGGAAAGAAAAAAGAAGTCCCAAAATACTCCCCAAAGGCTCAAAAGTACTCAACAAATCGTCCCCTGACTATTTTTTGACTATTTGAGAATATTCCGCCTGTAGAGGGACACGCCCGACTCAATGCAAGCCCTTTGGGCGCGCACATCGAAACTTTTCGAGAGGGGCTGGCCATCGAGAGTGGCCGAGGATGGACCGAAGAGGCGAGGGTGCAACGGTACCCTTGGGAAGGTTACCCCTCCTTATCCTCGGCTTCGACAGTGATCTATGATTAGGTCGGGCATGCCCCCCTGCAGGCGGATTTTGGACGAAAAACAAACAGTAGTCAAAAAAAACACCCCCAAATGGTCAAACATAGTCCGAACATCGTCCCCAGATCGTTTTTTGGCTATTTCTGCATATTCCTCCTGCAGGGGGACGTGCACACAAAGATTG